AACAAATTACTGATACATACAACAACATGAATAATTCTCAAAATAATTGTGCTGAGTAAAAGAAGCCAGAACCACCCCCTCTCCAAAAAAAACGTACATACTGTCAGATAATGATGGTAGAAAGGCAAACTAATGGATCGTGACAGAAGTGTTTATCTGTGATCAGGGTTGCCTAAGGCAGGCAGAGGCAGGAGGGAGGGATTATAAAGAGGTGTGTGGAAACCTTTGGGAGTGATGGATTCATTCATTATCTTATTATGGCAGTGGCTTCATGGGTATACACATAAGTCAAAACTCAGCTAATTGTAAATATTAACATGTGTAATTTATTATATATCAACTGTGCCTCAAAAAAGCTATAAAGCTTTAGCCCAGGCGTGGTGGCTCATGCCTGTAATCCCAACACTTTGGGAGGCCAAGTTGGGTGGATCACCTGAGGTCAGGAGTTCGAGACCAGCCTGGCCAATGTGGTGACACCCCATCTCTAAAAAAATAAAAAATAAAAAATAAAAAGCTATAAAGCTTTAAAAAAATCTGTGTTATAAAATGTCATGTATAGGCTAGTCACGGTGGCTCATGTGCACATGCCTGTATTCTCAGTGCTTCAAGAGGTCAAGGCTGCAGGATCACTTTAGGTCAGGAGTTTGAGACTAGACTGGGCAGCAGAGCAAGACCCCTCTCTAAAAATATACAAAGAAAGTTAGCTGAGTGTGGTAGCATGCCCCTGTAGTCCCAGCTACCGAGGAGACTGAGGTGGGAGGATCACTTGAGCCCGGGAGGCAGAGGTTACAGTGAGCCATGATCCTGCCACTCCTCTTCAGTCTGAGCAACAGAGACCCTGTCCCAAGAAGGAGAAGGAGGGGAAGGAGGGAGAGGAGGCGGGAGGAGGGAGAGGAGGAGGGAGAAGGGGGAGGAGCAGAGAGGAGCAGGGGAGAAGGGAGGAGGGAGCTAGTGAGGCAGGCAGGCAGGAAGGAGAAGAAGGAAGGAGAAGAAAGGAAGGAAGGAGGAGGAGAAAGAGAAGAAGAAAAAAAGGAAAAGGAAGAAGAAGAAAGAAGCATGCATAAGCTTTAGGGGTAGGCTGGCAGAAGATCAGGCTGTGAGGCGGTGCCAGGGTCCAGTCCCAAGGTGCAGATCTGGGAGCAGGTGCTAGGATGCAGAGGGGACACAGAATGGGCCAGGTGGGCCTGGACCCTCCCCAGGAGTGGCTCACACTCTGATTGGGGGCCCCAACCTGCTGTGAAACAGTCTGTCTGAGATGTGTTAGTGGAGACACAAACTTTTGCTTATGCCAGAGATGTGATTTATTTCCATTGGGAGGATGGGATGAGGCTTCTTGGAACCAATGGTATTTCAATGTATAGGTCTCATATTTGAAAAATAGATTGTGAATATTGCAATAGCTGACCTCTGATGAGCACTTAATATGTGCCAGGGACTCTTGGAAAGCTGTACGTGCAGTGTTCTATTTTATTCTTGTCACACACTTTCTGGGCAGGCACTTTTATCACCTCCACTTAAGGGCATGGATGCCCAAGGTCTTATAGGTATACTGGTGAAACCAAGATTTGGCCTTGGTGGTCTGATTTCTGACTTGGCACTCCTATTGTTCCCAATCTGCCTCTGATATGTGGGTGTGTTGATGGAGAATATATCAGAATGTACAACTGTTTGCGTTTTTTTTTTTTTTTTTTGGAGATAGGGTCTTGCTCTGTCACCCGGACTGGAATGCAGTGTGTGATCATAGCTCACGGCAACCTTGAACTCCTAGGCTCAAGTAGTCCTCCAGCCTTAGCCTCCCAAGTAGCTGGGACTATAGCTGTGTGCCACCATGCCTGGCTAATTTTAAAAGTCTTTTGTAGAAATAAGGTCTTGCTATGTTGTCCAGGCTGGTTTCAAACTCCTGGGCTCAAGCAATTCTCCCACCTTGGCCTCCCAAATTGTTGGGATTACAGGTGTGAGCCACTGCACCTGAACTTGAGTATGATTTGAAAGTGCCTTTGGGACCGTTCTGTGGAAAGTCATTGTCACTTACCACCAGTCTAAAATGGAAAAGGTAGACAGTATTGAACAAATGTTTAATTAATTACCCATGTCACTTGCAGATAGTGCTTGTTGTCTCACATCATGGTCTTCTGCCTGTCTCTTTCCCTAGATCATGGTTTGGGTGGTGTACCTTCCAAGTAGGGCTTCACTGGTTATTTCTTTGAATTATCCTCTTCATCCACTATATGAACAGGGTAGAAATGGTCGAAGATGTTGACTCACCATGGTCTTGTATCAAGGTAGCAGTCACACTGACAAAGCAGATGCCCTTGTACGGAAGAGCAGGTGCATCTCCAGCAGTGACTCCATGGAGATGTTCCTGGTGGAGCTAATGAATGGCCTCTCTAGGTGGTATGGAGTCTCTGGGCAAGTGAAATCAAATTCCTCGTGGTCATGAGTTGCGCTGGCATGCCCTTCTGAGCACTGGAGGCCATCATGGCAGGGCGTCGCTGCATTGTTTCCAGGCGTCTCGGGGACTGAGCACATGCCATCTCGCCATCGCGTCCTGTAAGTCTGGGATGGGGAGTCAGGACAGCTTCTCCTCAAAGGGCCTTATCACAGGAGAGGGATACTGTGACCAGCAGAAGTGCTCACAGGTCAGGGGCTACTGGGTGACAGCAGGGTGCAGAGTAGATGTTTCAGTCACGGTGAGGTGGCATCATTTAGTGCCATTGTCTCAGTTCCAGGTGTTTGTGGTTGGTCAAGTGCAAGACTGGGTTCCTTCTGGTAATGGAGTAGGCTTTTGAGCCCATTCTTTGTTTATTCTCTCATCCTTTGATTTTTTGTTGTGGAAAGTTTCAAACACACAGAAGTAGAGAGAATCATATAATAGACTCCCACCAAGTGTTGTGGGTCACACCTATAATCCCAACAATTTGGGAGGCCGAGGAGTGACAGTTGCTCAAGCCTAGGAGTTCAAGACCGGTCTGAGCAACATAGCAAGGCCTCGTCTCTTGAAAAAATTTAAACAATTAGCCAGGAGTGGTAGTGTGTGCCTGTAGTCCCTGCTACTTTTGAGGCTGAGGTGGGAAGATCACTTGAGTCCCGGAGGTTGAGGCTGTGGTGAGCCGTGATTGCGCAACTGCACTCCAGCCTGAGTGACAGAGCAAGACCCTGTCTCAAAAAATTAAAATAAATGAAAGACTTTCATGTACCCAACACAAATGTTGACATTTCACCAATCGTGCCTTGTATTTGACCTTTTCTGATTTTCATTGTATTTTCTGTTGAGGTATAACAGTAAAGCTCACAGCTTGATGGATTTTTAAGGTGAATTTTCGTCTATGTTTGTATCTATGAAACTTTCAGTTCAAGATGTAGAACATTCTCAGGCCTCAGCAGGCTCTTGCCTGCGTCTTCCTGAGATCTGCACAGGGTACAGTGGTGACATCATATTGGAAAAAGCATTTCGACCAATAAAAAGTTCTGTCTTCCTTTCTGCCTTTCTTTCTCCCTCTCCCACTCCTTTTCTCCTTCCACTCTTCCATTTTTCTTTCCTTACCTCCTTCCTGCTTTTTTTTTTTTTTGAGACAGACTTTCACTCTTCTTGCCCATGCTGGAGTGCAATGGCGCGATCTCAGCTTCCTGGGTTCAAGCGATTCTCCTGTCTCAGCCTCCTGAGTAGATGGGATTACAGGCATCTCCCACCACGCCAAGCTAATTTTGTATTTTTTACTAGAGACGGGGTTTCTCCATGTTGGTCAGGCTGGTCTCGAACTCCTGACCTCAGGTGATCTGCCCGCCTCAGCCTCCCAAAGTGCTGAGATTATAGGCGTGAGCCACTGTGCCCGGCCCCTTCTTTTTTTTTTGAGGAGTCTTGCTCTGTCGCCCAGGCTGGAGTGCAGTGGTGTGATCTTGGCTCACTGCAATCTCTGCCCCCTGCGGTCAAGCGATTCTTCTGCCTGAGTCTCCTGAGTAGCTGGGACTACAGGCATGTACCACCATGCCCAGCTAATTTCTGTATTATTAGTAGAGGTGGGGTTTCACCATATTGGCCAGGCTGGTCTCTAACTCCTGACCTCATGATCTGCCTGCCCCGGCCTCCCAAAGTTGCTGGGATTACTGGCATGAGCCACTGCACCCCACCGCCTTCTTTCTTCTTTATTCACTGATCTAGTTACTAAGAGGGTAAACTCTGGATTTGTTTAAAAAAAAAAAATGGGCTGGGTGTAGTGGCTCACGCCTATAATTCCAGCACTTTGGGAGGCTGAGGCAAGTGGATCCCTTGAGGGTCAGGAGTTTGAGACCAGCCTGGCCCACATGGTGAAACCCCATCTCTACTAAAAATACAAAAATCTGCCAGGCAAGGTACCAAGTACCTGTAATTCCACCTACTTGGGAGGCTGAGGCAGGAGAATCGCTTGAACCCGGGAGGCAGAGGTTGCAGTGAGTCAAGATCGTGCCACTGCACTCCAGCCTGGGCACCTGGGCGACAGAGCAGGACTCCATCTCAAAAAAAAAAAAAAAAAAAAAAAAAACAAAAACGAAGGTAATTACTAAGAAGATAAACTTTGGATCTGTTTGAATACATATATATGTATTCTTATATACCTATGAAGTGAAACTGGCTTAAAGATTGGCTCCTGTTGCGAAGTCTCTGTTAATCTGAAAGGCCTGCCTTCCTCCTTCTCTCCCTCTCCTTTTCCTTCTCCGTTTCCCTCTCCGTCACTCCCTTCCTTTGCTTTCTTCCTGCTGAATACTGACTGGCAACTCTAATGGCTTTTGGAGATTCAGAACAAAAACAACCATGGTACTGGCCCATCTTCCACGTCCACAGTGCCCTGGTGACCAGTGGTGCCTGAAGCAGCTTCTCAGCGTTTCTTAGGAAGGGTGAGCTCCCTGCCCCACAGATGCTCAAGGCTGGGGACGGGCTATCTTAAGTGCCTGGCTGGAGGCTGACCTAGCCAGAGGAGGTCAGGAGGGCCTAGTGGGTGGTGACTCCTGTGTGTTCCTCACAGACGCTGCAGGAGATCTTCCAGGCTGAGAACACCATCATGCTGCTGGAAAGGTCCATCATGGCCAAGGAGGGCCCGCTGAAGGTGGCCCAGACGAGGCTGGAGTGCCGGACCCGGCGCCCCAACGTGGAGTTGTGCAGGGACACCCCACAGTTCAAGTAAGTGAGGGAGGCCAGAGAAGGTAGGAGAACCCCTGGGAATCCAAGAAGGGGGAGGGGGTCTCTGGAGCTCTGAGGCGCACTGGGTCTGATAAATGGACCAACAGACAATTAGGACATCCAGTGCCACAACTCAACAGAGTGCAGGGGGTGGGTGGAATTCTGAGATGCAGCTCGGGCTGGACCATGGCATGGCTTCCTCTTCACTGGGAGCCCCACCTTGTGCACTGTGGTCTTCTCACCTGCCTAAACGAGGGGTGGTTTTGTAACTCTGTAGTGCTCTAGAAACCTTCCTGTTTTCCCTTGAAAGCCAAGGAGATGGCAGCCTCCTGGACGGTGGCTTCACCTTCTCTCTCCAGGCTCCCAGGAAAGAGGCACGTGGCTCATTCCTCACTCATTTGCCACCTCCCTCTTTGTAAAGTTGTCACCATGAAACCCTGGAAGAGCCTCATAAGCTCCTCACTGATGGATCCCACCCATCCCGCTGTGCTGAAATGGCTGGTGTCTGTAGACAAAGGGCTTTCTCAGAGGCTATGGGGTGAAAAGTTCATGCCAGCCCAGGAAGGAGGTTTGTAGGGGGCAGAGGGCAGGGATTGTAATAGGATGATGGCCAGGCCAAGAGGGAACAAGTCATTAGACATGAGGATTATTTCTCATAAATGTCCTGTCTGACTTGGAGAAAACCACTTGGCCATTCTGTTCCCCCTGTGCTAGAGGCATTATCTTAGTTGTCTATTGCTGTGTAATAAATTACCCCAAAAGGTAGTGACTCAAAAGAACCACACTTGTTTCCTCAGTTTCTGTGGGTTAGGAATTGGGCTAGGTTCCTTGTTAGGTTCCACGTGTCAGGGTCTTCCACAGGTTGCAGTCAAGGTGTTGGCTGGGGCTGTGGCCTTATCAGAAGGCTAGAGTGGGGAAGGTTCCACATCCAAGCTCGCTCGCATGGTTGTTGGCAGAACTCAGTTCTTTGCGGGCTGTTGTCTGGCAGCCAGCCTCACTTCCTTGCCCTGTGGGTCTCTCCAGCATGGCGGCTTGCTCCAACAAAGCATGCAAGCCAGAAGGACAATGACGGTACCAGCAGCAAGGATGTCACAGTCTTTCGTAACCTAACCGTGGAAGTGACAGCCCATCACTCTTTCTGCATACTTTTCTTTAGAAGCAAGTCACTAGGCCCAACCCACACTAAAGGGTATGCTACCAAGAGGTGGGGATCATTGAGGGTCATCCTTTGATCTTCCTCCCATGGGCACTAACAGGGCTTCTGGTGGAGTGGGAGGAGCCTGAGTTAGGCCCCATTGCAGCAGCTCATTTACTCTATAAACCTTATTCTGCGTTCACTGTGCCCAGGGCTGTGCTCACTGGGTTTCACAGCAGTACTTCTCTTTCAACAAGACACTGAGTTGATACCCCCAAGAGAAGAAGATGGAAAGGACCATCCTCAGGCTTCCTTGGGCACATTATTTCAGCACTGGCTTATAGCAAGGGAAGTTCACCCTGATGTCTAACTGCAATCCCTTGAGCTTGAGTTCTATCCCCTTTAGTCTTACTCCTAGGGGAGTTGAGGAGTCAGTTATTCATACTTTTGTCAAATGGGAAGATAAATTGAGGTCCAGAGAGGTTGAAAAAGCTGTCCCAGTCACACAGCACTAAAGCCAGGGCTTCACTGGGCAGGGAGTGCGGGTCTTGGTGTAGCGATGCACGCTGCTCCCTCCATCCTGGTGTGGAGACCTCACTCCGGGAAGTGAAGAGATGTCAAGAAAAGAGATAGGAGTCAGGAGAAGGAGACAGATAGTCAAGAAAAAGTGCTGGGTGGTTCCCAAGTGATGATTTTTGCACAGCCTCAGTTACCGCCTAGATAACCATTTAGGAAATGGAAAAAGCAGGGTATGTGTTGGGGTGGGGGTGGTGGGGCAGGCAAAGTGATCCAAGGCTTTGAACTTGAGGGCCTGGGGTTTCCCACTACTTTGGGAGGACAAGGCAGGAGAATCACTTGAGGCCAGGAGTTTGAGACCAGCCTGGACAACATAGCAAGATCCCATCTCTACAAAAAATTCAAAATTAGCCAGGCATGGTGGCATGTGCCTATAGTCCCAGCTATGCGGGAGGCGGAGGTGGAAGGATTGCTTAAGCCCAGGAGTTGGAGGCTGCAGTGAACTATGATTGCACCATTGCACTCCCCCCTGGGCAACAGCAACACCCAACAGACCTGCTGCTGGCTTGTAAGGTCTTCAGCCCTAGAAGTGGGCTGGATGGGTCTAGGTCCTGGGTGCAGGAGAGTGGGGGCTGGTCTCTGCCGATCTGTCTTCCACCTGCCCCTACTTCTTAGATGCTCAGGCTGAGCCCAGCACCTCCTGGGGTGATCCCTCTGCTTCCTCTATGGGACTTCTTTTTTTTTTTTTTGAAATGGAGTCTTGCTCTGTTGCCCAGGCTGGAGTGCAATGGCATGATCTCAGCTCACTGTAAGCTCTGCCTCCTGGGTTCAAGCAATTCTCCTGCCTCAGCCTCCCAGGTAGCTGGGATTACAGGCAAGCACCACCATGCCTGGCCAATTTTTGTATTTTTTAGTAGAGACCGGGTTTTCCATGTTGACCAGGCTGGTCTTGAACTCCTGATCTTTTTTTTTTTTTTTTTTTGAGACGGAGTTTCACTCATGTTACCCAGGTTGGAGTGCAATGGCGCGATCTCAGCTCACTGCAACCTCCGCCTCCTGGGTTCAGGCAATTCTCCTGCCTCAGCCTCCTGAGCAGCTGGGATTACAGGCACGCACCACCATGCCCAGCTAATTTTTTGTATTTTTAGTAGAGACGGGGTTTCACCATGTTGACCAGGATGGTCTCGATCTCTTGACCTCGTGATCCACCCGCCTCCGCCTCCCAAAGTGCTGGGATTACAGGCTTGAGCCACCGCGCCTGGCCTTGAACTCCTGATCTTAAGTGATCAACCTGCCTCAGCCTCCCAAAGTGCTGGGATTACAGGCATGAACCACTGTGCCCAGTCCCCCAGGGGACTTCTACAAAACGGGGCTTCTGGGGGAGTTGCCAGATGTCCTGGAGGACTTACTGCTTTGGGGCAAGCTCTCTCCCTTTCTGTTTGACAGTCATACCACTAAAGAGGACAGACAGAGGGCAGGGGGGCGGAGCATGTTTGGTTCAGGAGCTGGGCTGTGTGTGTGTCTGCATCTGTACATGTTGTGTTTTGGTCTGTGTGCATGGCTATCTTGAGAACTGAGATCAAAAGACTCAGTCTGTCTTTCATCTCCAGTGACTAAATTGTCCCATCTGTGCATGATTGTCCTTGCCCCCATCCCCTCCATTCCTGCCTTTGGGCCATCTTTTTCCTTTTCCTCTACAAGTGGTCTGTTTTCTTCTGACCCACTCCAATCAGTGGGGTCCCATCCATACCCACCCCCCAGAAAGAAAGTCCATTTAAAATTGAACTTTAAAGGTTAGGTGGGGCAGTTCACGCCTGTAACCCCAACACTTTGGGAGGCTGAGGTGGAAGATCGCATGAGGCCAGGAGTTCGAGACCAGCCTGCCCAACATAGCAAGACCCCATCTCTACAAAAAATACAAAAATAGGCCAGGCATGGTAGCACATGTCTGTAGTCCAAGCTACTCAGGAGGCTGAAGCAGGAGGATTGCTTAGGCATAGATGTTGGAAGCTGCAGCGAGCTATAATCATGCCACTGTACTCCAGCCTGGGCAACAGAGCAACACCTTGCCAAAAAAAAAAAAAAAAAAATTGAAATTTAACTAAAATTAAATACAGTTAAATACTCAATTCCTTATTCAGACTAACCACATTTCAAGTACTCAGTTTCCACATATGGCTACGGTCTGCCATATCAGACAGCATGGCACAGAACATCTCCCTTGGTCTAGAAAGTTCTATCGGACAGTGCTGGTAGAAGTTTCCAGGCTGTTTCTGTCACTTCTCTTTGCTTCCCCCTAGCCCAGGCTTACCAGGGGGAAGTTTGCCCAGCTTCATGTCCTCCGGTCCTGAGCACAGTTTCATTGTCTCTTCTCCCCAGAGGTGGGACCTGCAGCACAGTCCCACAATCCAGCCACTGTCACAGTCCACCTGCTGCCTTCATTTCCCAGGGCTGCTATCACAAATTACTCTGAAGTGGGTGGGTACAGACAACACAAGTTTATTCCCTTACAGCTTTGGAGGCCAGAAGTCACAAATCAAGGCTGCTGTTCCTGGAGGCTCTGAGAGAGGCTGTTCCCTGCCCCTCTCCCAGCTCCGGGAGGCTGTCAGCAGTCCTCAGCGTCCCTCATCTTGTAGCAGTGTCGCTCCCATCTCTGCCTCCATCCACACATGGCTTTCGCCCCTGCGTGTCTCTGTGTCTGAAACCTCCCTCTCCTTTCCTTCTAAGGAGATCAGTCATTGCATTTAGGCGTCACCCTAACTCCAGCATGAGCTTATTTTGAGATCCTTAACTTCATTACACCTGCAAAGACCTTACTTCCTAAGAGCATCACAGGCAGCAGGGGTTAGGACCTGAACGTATCTTCCGGGGGAACACCATCCAGTCTGCCCCATGCGATACCATAATGACCTCCTAACCTTTCTCCTGCCTCTACTCTTGCCTCCTCCAATCTCATCTTATATAGCAGCCTGGAGGTTATCCCGAAACTTAATCAGCAAGTCATTCTCTTGTTTCAAACCCCCTGCCTCCACCCCATTGCTTCCCATGGCTCTGAGAACAAACCCAAGCCCCTTAATTTTGCATGTGCTTTTCTGTTTTTTTTTTTTTTTTTTTGGAGACTGAATTTTGCTCTATTGCCCAGGCTGGAGTGCAGTGGTGTGATCTTGGCCCACTGCAACCTCTGCCTCCCAGGTTCAGGCAATTCTCCTGCCTCAGACTCCTGAGTAGCTGGGATTACAGGCACTTGCCACTACTTCTGGCTAATTTTGTTGTTGTTTTTTTTTTTAGTAGAGATGGGATTTCACCATGTTGGCTAGGTTGGTCTCAAACTCCTGACCTCAAGTGATCT